GGTGCTTTTCTGCGAAGGGGACAGGACGACTGCACTGTATTAAGGAGAGGATGAATGGGGCCATTTCTTGTGAGATTTTGAACAACAACCTCCTTCCTCAGTCAGAGCATTGAAGATGGGTCGTGGCTGGATCTTCCAACATGACAACGACCTGAAGCACACAGCCAGGATAACCAAGGAGAAGCTCCGTAAGAAGCATATCAAGGTTCTGGAGTGGCATAGCCGGTCTCCAGACCTAAATCCAATAGAACATCTTTGGAGGGAGCTGAAACTCCGTGTTGCTCAGCGACAGCCCCGAAACCTGACAGATCTAGAGGAGATCTGTATGGAGGAGTGGGCCAAAATCCCTCTTGCAGTGTGTGCAAACCTGGTCAAGAACTACAGGAAACGTTTGACCTCTGTAATTGCAAACAAAGGCTTCTGTACCAAATATTAACACTGATTTTCTCAGGTGTTCAAATACTTATGTTCAGCAGTGCAAGACAAATAAATTCTTTAAAAATCATACAATGTGATTTCCTGAATTTTTGTTTTAACTTCTTTCTCTGAGTGGGAATGCACCTACAATGTGAATTTCAGACCCCTCCATGATTTCTAAGTGGGAGAACGTGCAAAATCGCAAGGTGTTCAAATACTTCTGTTCCTCACTGTAGCAATTTAGAGATCAGTAACTCTTGGTGTCTACCTTTTGGGACTGTACCTGGAACCCACTGTGTCTGGGGTCAGCCTGTAATGTTTGCTTTAGACACTGAACCTTTTATTAGGTGCTCACCATGGCACATTGTTGCAGCAAGTGTATATAGCCACAGGGTGCCATACAGGTCCATGGTCGTGGCCCATCCTTATGGCCCCAGATCCTGATGACACCTGCTGGGGTATGTCAACTCTGATGAGCCAAGCATGGACCTTTAACTGGTCCAATGACATGGATTAGTTAGGGAAGGGCTTTTCTGCATTTTAGATTGGTGCCTAGCTATACACATTCCGCTGTACTGAGCATACAAGTGGACACACAGATACAGGAATTAGGAGTTATTCTTTTTATTGTGTTAATTCCCTTTGCACTTTTGTCTCTAATGCTTTTAGCACCATTAATAATTTTCATTGCAAAAAAAAGATTGGCAGTCTTTTTTTTCCCATCCGCATATACTGTAGTTTCAGGATGGTGACATAGTAGCAACACACCTTCCATATCTGCTGAAAATGTTTGTAACACATTTTCTGCATATTCTGCTCCTCTCTGATAGTTTCTGCTCCTTTTTCTGAAACGCTACCAAGGAACATGGTCAACACCTGGGTTATAGCAGCTCCTTTATTTCGGACATGATACATTCCTCATCCATTCAGAATACCCCACACAGAATACTTTCACTTCAGCAATGAGGATTCACAGCCACAAGGAAGCTGGAATAAAGAGCAGAATGACACATTGCTGATGGCTTAGAGGAAGCACAGAACACTGCTAAGGTTGATAGCTGTTCCCTTGTCTTGCTATGTCCTGGTGTGAGGAAAGATGTCTTACCTTAGGATTACACCTAAGCATTTTCCGAAGCATTTTGCGTTTTGCAAAAACGTGGTACAGTCCATTTAACTTGATTTTCTATGGGACATGTTCACATCTCCACTTTTTCATCCAGTGTGTTTTGGAAAGTGTCAGGGACTTTTTTTAACGCAAAAAGTTGCGTTTTTGGTTTTATAGACTTCAATGGAAATGCTGCAGAAAAGCATGTAGCGCATTTTTGATGCATTTTGCGTTTTAAATCTGCCTAGTAACAAGTAAATTTTAAAAAAATGAAAGAAAAAGTGTCAAACGCAGGTGCAAATCCGCAATGTGGAAATTGCTCAAACACAACCTGGTGTGACCCTAGCCTTAGAGAATACTCTGTTGCTCATGCTGGCCTTTCATCAATCTGGACTCAACCAGCGTTTTGCCTTGAGTACCCTTGAGGGACATGTTTTGGCCTTATCCTTCCTTTTCAAGGCACCCAAACAGGCATGCTCTCGAGACACGGCTCTGCGTGTCCATTCACACACAGAGCTGTGGTTTAGCCCCACTGCTCCCTCTCCTGATTGGCTTATAGGCTGTGATTGACAGCAGGCTCCTGCTGCTGCCTCAGCCAATCAGGAGTGAGAGCTCCCGAACAGCCGAGGCTCTCACAGACCACTTTAGATCAAGAGGCACTCGGGTAAGTATTGGTGTGGGGGGGGGGGGGGGGAGGGGGTTGCTGCACACAGAGATTTTTTTTTTCTTTTCATCTTCATGCATCTTTGAGTCTTTAGAACCACTTTAAGGCTAGGTAAACCCCAAAACAAAAATGTAGGGTACTGCAACTTTAGGCTGTGTTTTTTTTTTTCACCTGTACTTTCATACTGCCATTGACACACTTCAGTCCTAGAATGACAACACTCACTCACCATTTTGTATCAGCACAAAAGAAGTAACATAGGACTAGGGAGCTCCACCTCTCTACTATTAGAGGAGAGGAATGTAGTTCTGCGGTCCTGCAAGAGAATGGGGAAAATAGTAGTTGTTCACTGGACAGGTATAAAAAAAAATTATGCTATTTAACAAACCGAAAGGGACCAAACAAGTTAAGTTTGTTAGGTTCTACATACACTTTTTAAGCTGCAGATCTCATGCCATGGCAGGTGAGAATGGCTGCAAGAAAAAAACAAAAAAAACAAAGTGATCATCCTGAATGTACAAGGTCTTTATTGAAAAGAATTTTAGTGGCAAACTGGTATTTTTAGATTGGCTGTAAAAAGCTCTTCTGCAGAACTTCAAAGAAATCGGCCAAGTTGAGGACTGGTGACAGTGATCGGCTACAGGGGACTGAGTGCGGCAGTTGAGACTTTTGGCAAGATTTTTAACCTTTTTAAGGGTGATGGACATCTTCAGATTTCACTCTGAGAACTGGCAAAAACTACTAGTGTCCATCTGCATCCTGGGGAAGATTTAGCAAAAGTGGTCTCCATGGATAAATTGCAACCAAAAATCCAGTTGCTAGTGATACAGTAACACCCCCTGGAATTTTTAGTTCCATAATAATTTTATTGAACTGGAAATTTGACATATGAGACAGGAGAGGGAACATGCGTGTTTATGAACACATATCACTCTTAGTCAATAAGCGAAAGACACCACTTGAATATCTTATAAAAAGTAACCCCCTGGAATTTTAAACTAATAAAAATTAACCAGTGCTTGTGACAAAAAATATGAACAAATCACAAAACAATATAGTACAAAATTGACAATCCAACCACGTTTCCACCTCCTTGCTCTATGCTTCCCAGATAAGTAAAAGGCTTAGCATATAAATCCACTTTTACAGTTGTAGAGACCTGATCTTCCGGTTGCAGGTGTGCGTGACGTCACTTCTGCTTGATGCGTTTTGTCAGTTGACTTCCTCAGAATGTGCAGTTGTGATAGTCGTTTTGTGAGTAGATCATTATATGTAATTGATATAAGGTTTTTGGTACAAACTACACTATGGAGTTGTTTGTTTTGATATCGGTGCTACACTGAAGGCAAATGGAGGAGAGAAGTTGGAGCTTGTTTTGTTGACCTCTCCATGCCTGGTGGGAAGGGTGGATCCTGGATGTCCCTTTGTGAAGTGTTTTAGGACTCGCCTATTTTTAAGGGATCATAATTATTAGGTAAAAGGCTTGCCAATCTGGGAAAGACAAAGTACGGAGCTGAAAACATGGTTCAATTGTCTACTTAAGGAATACAGACTTTATATTTTCTTTTGTGCCCAGGTTATCACTGATATTACACTAGATTCATTATATCGATAGAAGTATATTTTGCATGAATATTAGGGATGCACTGAAATTTCGGTGGCCGAAATGTGTCGGCCGATATGAAAAAAAGCACCAATACAGGTGCCGAAAAAACCTCGCCACCACTCTGTAGTTCTCAGCCTTACCTGAGATACCATCAAACGATCCTGGCGCTGGGCATAGAGATTAGTGAAGGAAAGATGGCCTCCACTCATCTCTATGCCCTTGGAGGACCGGAGCAATGTCACTTCTGGTTCTGCCTTTTTTTTTTTTTTTTTTTTTTTTTTTTTTTTTTAAAGCACTAGATCAATGCTTTTTTTTTTTTTTTTCTTCTTTTTTTTTTTTTTTTTTTTTGATCCAATGCTTTACATTGCAGAGGAGAGATGATTGGGTCTTATATTGACCCCATATCTCTCCATAAGGAGGACCTGTCACTAATTATTTCTTGTGCTAAGAATAAAAGTGATTTAAAATGTTTTTAAAGGGACAGTGCAAATAAAAAAAAGTTTAAAGTGCCCCTGTCCACCCATGCTCGCACGTAGTGGTGACCGCATACATAGGCTATGCCCACATATGTAAATGTATGTAAAAAAAATACCAATCTCACTGCTGAGGAGTATGCTCAGATTCTCCTCCACCAATGCAGTACCATCAGAGAGCCATCTCATTAGTCCTGATTTCATTCTGCAGCATGGCAATGACCCCAAACACAGGGCCAAAATCATAAAGAACAGTCTTAAGTGAATGAATTCACTTATGAATAGTGACTTTTGAATGAATTACAATGAATTCTGCAATGGATGGTATGCCTTTCCAAAAAACCTAATTTCAATATTGACACAGTCTGGGATGACTTGCAGAGAAAGAAGGAAGTAAGGCAGCCAAAGCTGGTGAAACTGGTATGTTCTCCAGGTTCTAAGAATACCTGCCATGTTCATTCTTTCATAAACTAAATGCAACTGTTCCCACGAGAACTGCTGATGTGTTAGTAGCAGAGGGTACTTGCGCGTCTTATAATTTTTTTTGATGAATAAAAATGAATAATTTTATTTTTAAAGCATTTCTACTTTTACACATTTTGTTGTCAGAAGAGTCTTTTCACTTGTGCACAATACTGTATGTGCACAAATACATATATTTATGATTACTGCAGTCATTCATGCTTATAACGAATGCACACAATGAGCATGCTAACATTTTTATTTTATTTACAGTGCCAAGAGAAGATCTAAGAGGGGGTTTTATGCTTTGTTTTCTTGATGATGGAACAGGAATGGATCCAAGTGAGTAAAAAAAAAATTGTGAGCACTTGTGTGAACTATTTTGGAAGTAGGTAAGAACATTGAAATCTATAAAAGCTTTTCTAAACCAGTATAGGGAATGCAATAAATCATTTTGCTGTTCGTTACAATTTTATATTCTTGCATTTTTTATAAAATACGTTCTGTTCCAGTACCAAAAACAAGAAGATGAATAAAAGAGCACTGTAATTTTTTTCAGTTTTTTGATTTTGATATGAGAATGCAGTGTACAATAAAGGTGGCCACAACGTTTGGCCAAATTAATGATGGACAAAAAATTACTATTCTTTTTGATAATACAGTGTGAAAACTACTCTGGTGTACTGACTTTAGTGGTAGCCATTAAGAAGTGTGTTTTAGGTGGATGGCAGTCATTCTCTTATCAAGCCAATGGAGAAAGACCTTGGTTTGTGTAACTGCTTTAAAAATGGTTAATGTGGGTAGAATGTCATCCTTTTCAATTTGTTTTTATAGGTGAAGCTGCAAGTGTAATTCAGTTCGGCCGGTCCTCCAAAAGAACTCCTGAGTCTATTCAGATTGGGCAGTATGGAAACGGTTTGAAGTCGTACGTTCCAACTACTATAATGTTTAGATGAATTTTAAACATATTTATCATAGTTCTTTAACACAAATTCCATCTTCGTGTACATTTTCATGTATTCTGAATGGACAAATAGTGTAAATAGAGTTGCAGAAATTTACTAAAACTGTAATAGCTGTGCATAGTAACCAATCGGCTTCGAGCTTCACCTTGTTCTGTTAAGTTTTGAAAATTAAAGCTAGAAGTTGATTGGTTGAAATTTACCATTGCTGCAGATTATGGCTGCTTCAGTCTTAGTAAATATATAAAAATATATCTTAGAGAGATACTTTGTATGCTGCTCAAGTTCTTCCCAACCCCTCCCCCATAAACACAGAAAAGAACCTGCAAGAAAACTTCTATCATGGGATGATCGATGCACAATTGCTTGCACATTAATGATTTGCATGGAAGGGTCATTAGAAAAGAAATCTTATCACACGTGAACATGTGAAATTTGCAGTACATTACTTGTGTAAGCCAGAAGCATTTTGAAACCAAATGCTCTGGTCTAACCAAATGAAACTTGAATCTTATTTTATCAAAACAACTTTCAGGACCACATATGAGAGAGAGCCTCATGTAGGAGACACACCCACTCCTAATTTGGAGGCCTCTCTCCACAGTCCTCAGTTATTGTGTTTCCACTGGCCAGGCAGAAACACTCAGGAATTGAGGGGAGACTGCATTTTCTGGGTGCTGGCCTGAGAGAGGTCTCTTACCAAATTGTGTAGCTGGGTCCTGCAGGCAGCTTTCTAGAGTGTATGGATCAGTTCTGGCTCCTCTCTCCCCGTTCAGTTCTTGGAGAGCCAGTAAGCTGCAGCCCTTTTTGTCTTCCACATGGCAGCAGCCATGTTTTTGGTGGACAGCAATGTCTGTCCATAGCTGGGATGTCATTTCCGTGTGAGGGCAGAGGTTCCAGCCATGCAAGCGGTGTCTGTTCTGGCCTCTGGAACACAGGGGGAGAAGGAAGGACCCAGCCAGTGCTTATTTCCAGTCCCGGGCTGGAGCAGAAGAAGTGTTCTAGGACATCAGGACCGTATCCAAATAGCCATGTGGTCCTCTGCAGTTCTAGGGTCAGGTGGAGGCACTGGCAAACTCCAGGTAGGAGAGTGCTCCCTAAGGGCTGTTTATTATGCTGCTTTTCACTGTTTCCCCCTGGTGGCTGAAGGCCTGTCTGTTCACTGGATCGTAACTGGAAGGGTCAGTGCACAAATGTGGCTTTAAGACGGCTTTTCTGCTGTGTCTTTTCTGTGATAGGTTAAGACCAGTGAATGAGAATCTAGTAGCAAGAGGAGGTGTACGTCATGCCAGAATAAGTTGTCGGATTCATAGAAAAAACTGTTACATAAGGAGTGCGTCTCAGCACTAGGCAAGGATGAGGCTCTGGCAGCTTCCAGTGACTTTTTGGTTGCTATTAAGACTGAATGGATTGCTACCTAACAGTGTTTAGGAACAAGATGGTGTCCTCCTCCCAGAGTTCATCAGAACCCATTGCCACACCACAATCCGCTTCCTTTGGTGCAGGGTCAGGGTTACCCTTGGCACAGGTTGCTCGTTCCCTGCCACGGTCTGAAAGAGAATCTAAAGAGGAAGATGGGGGAGGAGGCTGAGGATTCCACAGCATCTAAATACGAAGGGTCTCTGGAAGATATTGTAAGTCTTCTGAAGGTGATTCATGCCACGTTGGGCATTAAAGAGGGGGGAAAAAAAAAAAAGATCTCTCCTTACACGACCGGTTATACTGGGGGCAAAGCGGGCCAAATTTAGAGTTTTTCCTATACATTCAGCTATTTCACAGTTGGTAAAGAAGGAATGGCAGGATCCTGAAAAAGTGTGTTTTTGAGACCCCACAAGAGAAGGTTCCCGTTTTTTAAGAAGATACCACAGTTTTGGAAAAAAGTGTCTAAGCTGGACACAGCCTTCTTCCAAGTCTCGAAGAGTACAGATTTAGCTTTCAAGGACATGGGACGTTTGAAGGAGACAATGGATAAAAGGATGGATTTGTTTTTGAAGAGACCCTGACAAGCTATTATGGAAAATGTGAAGCCTGCTATGGCAGTCACCTGTGTGGCGAGGATTCTAGAACACTGGTTAATCCAGCTGAAGATGCACATTGGTGCAGGAACACCAAAGGAAGAATATTAGTAATTTCTGACAATCTCTAAAGCTGTGGGATATATAGCATATGCTTCCAGAGAGTCTATATGCATGACAGCTTTCTCAGCTGCATTATCTAACTTGGCTTTAAGGACCTTGTGGCTGAAGAGCTGGCAGGGAGACTCGGCCTCTAAAGTAAGCTTGTGCAGAATCCCTTTTTCAGGAGATCTCCTCTTTGGGCAAGATCTGGAATCCATTCTGGACCATATAGCAGCCAAGAAAGCCTTTCCCTGTGAAAAAGAAAAACAAGTGCCAAAACATTTTTTTTCGGCCCCAGAAAATTTTGCTGCAGATCGACAAATCACAGGGAGAAAAAGTCATGGGGATCGTAGAAAAGGGAAAAAGTGCTTTTTCCGTGCACCTGCACAGTTCAAGAAGTCGTAATGACTTGCTGCTTCAGGGTGAAAGAAGACTACAGGCTTTCCTACTACAATGGGAGGCCGTGACAACAAGTGTATAGATTCGGAATAGTGTCAGCCACGGGTGCGACATAGTTTGTGGAAGTTCCCCCGAGAAAATATTTTCATCAGGGATATACCAGAAAATCCGGTAAAAGCTCTAGCCATGAATAAACCTGTTTCAGGATCTTAATCACCAGATAGTGGTAATACCAGCCCCTATTGGGGAAGAACAGATGGTCTTTTATTTCCACATATTTCAAGTAGAAAAACCTGCTGTAAAATTCTACTTAAATATCAGTTTAAAGCCATTGAACAAAGCGGTTCAATACAGAAGGTTTCCGGATTGATTCAATCTAAGGGATGTGTATCTCTACATCATTATGGAGAGCACTCCCAAGATTTTTTAAGACTGGCCCTGAGATTGGGACAACAGGTTCAGCACCTGCAGTTCAGGGCTCTTCCGTTTTTAACCTGTCGTCGTCTCCCCACATCTTCACTTGGGACTTGCAAGAGGCCTGCAGCCTACTGGAGAGCTTGGGCTGGAATGTAAATATTGTGACAGGAGGTCAGAAAGAACTAAAGGATGTGTCCAGGATAGGAGGTATGTTTGTCCCAGGTTCATGCTTTACATTGACTGTTTCTCCTGTTGTACTGTGTAGTGAGCCTGTTTGGCTCACTGATGACTTAATGAGCTCAGGTTAGTGAGTTAAGGGCTTTGGGCTCTATAAAACTCCCAGGTGTATGCAGGCCATAGATGATCGTAATTTTCGGTCGATTAAGATCGGCTTTCGGTCTAAAAAACCTACCTGGCTCAATTATTACGAAAAAACTCGATTAATGAGTAACCATAACGGGAAATGATGTCATTTTTATTTTTATTTGTACCGGAAACGCTACGCCAAACTCTTTCCAGGTCACTGCAATGCCATAAAATTTTCGGAAAACGATCGCGTTTGTGCCATCAATGAGGATAACTGGGCGCGAAAATTTTTCAACATCACCGATAATCTGAAAGGCCAAAATGCCGACAAAATCGTCCACTAACGATAAGATAATCGGTGTTTTCTTCCGGACGAAAAATCGGCCGAACGATCCATCTATGTGCATTAGTGAGCAACCGATAGTTTGCTGTGCAGGTGGGGAGCAATTCTGTGGTGAGAGATAATCTGTGTGATCTTAGTGTGAACACTGTGTTTGAGCAGCGATCAGACAGCTAGATAGGAAACCTGTGTTTGCAGTTAGATGCCCAGTGTGGCAAGGTTTTATTTTCTGTTTGTATTTTTTTTGCTGTTTTGACTATATGCACCGTGTGTTCACCAGACTTGTAAAGCACAACTTTTCATCAAGATCCTGCTGTCGTGCTGAGCCTCTTTCACGGTGTTCTGACCCATCCAGGGGGTCAAGCACAACCCACTACTGGGCTAATCCCTCACAATATGCAAAAGTCCAATTGGACCCCTTCCAAGAAAGTTCTGTTCTTGGGATTTCTGATCAGTTTGATGGAACAGAAGATATTCTTGCCAGAAGAAAAAAGGAAAAATATTCTCTTGACAATGACTTTGGTCCAGTGCAATCATCACGTTTCGATCAGATTTTTGATGTCCGCTCTCAGCCAATGAACAGCCTCCATTCCAGCAGTCCAGTGGGCAAGAATACACTTCAGACTTCTGCAATAGTTTATTTTGAGATTGTGGAATGGGGGGTGTGTCCTCGCTGAACAGCAAGGTTAAAGTTCCCACAAGGGTAAAAAAAAAAAAAAATCACTCCTGGTAAAATAAACAGGAGATTCTTACAGGAGGTCTGGCCTGGTCTTTCCCAGTAGAAAAAAAATCTCACCATAGATGCCAGCCAGAGGCGTAACTAGAACCTTCAGGGCCCCAGTGCAAGAAACCATGAAGGGCCCCCCCTTTCAAAAAAGCAGTGGCAGTGCTGTGAGGGGGGATGGGGGGAATGGGATCAGTGGCAGTGCTGGTTGTGAGAGAATGGGATCAGTGGCAGTGGTGGTGGTGAGGGGGGTGGGGGCAGGCAGGATCAGTGGCAGCGTTGGGGGTGATGGGATCAGTCCACTGAGGGTGTTGGGGGGATGGGACCAGTGGCAGCAGTGGTGGAGGGGGAATTGGGATCAGTGGCTGCAGTGGTGGTTGTAGGGGGATGGGATCAATCCACAGATGGTAGTGGGGGGGGGGGGGGGGGGCAGGGGGGTCAGTGGCAGAGGGGAAGGGGGATAGTGGTGATATTGGTGGTGGGATGGGATCAGTCAGAGGCAGCGGGGGGGGTAGGGGGTGGTGATGGGGGGGAATCAGTCAGAGGCAGCAGTGGTAGTGGAGGGGGAGATGAGATTAGTCAGAGGGTTGCAGTGATGGTGGTTGGGGGGGAGGGGGGTTGGGATGGGATTAGTTAGAGGGTAGCGGTAATGGTGGGGAG